GGTTTCTATCTAGACAAAATTGTCTTGACAATTTGCCTGTCTAGACAAAATTTGCAGATTACATAGATAAAAAATTTGTTGTGTTCGAGTCGATTTTAGATGCTAGATGAATGTTAATATTATTCAATTAAACAGTTGAAAGACACCTAAGCCTAACGAAGTTACCCTATTTCAAGTGTTTTCAGCCACATCAAGTTGACATAAGATAACATTGGGCTGTCAACTTTAGACTTGATAACCTCTACAGTCTCATGATCTGTAACAAATGAACGGTTACAATGAATAACTCTGTCGTTGTCATTATATAGACTGGCCTGTCGTTTGAAGTAAGCAGAGTCAATAGCAGAGTCCATTACAAGTTGATATTAGAACACACTGTAGTGTTAAGAAGAGTAGAATCCTGATTTTTCCGGTCCGATTTGTTTGCCCAATTATCTTAACAGAAACTCGGGTGCTACGATTTGATACCGTGTAATTCATCTTTCCGTCCAATAAATCGAGGTTCCCCGTATATATTGTAATGCATCCCGATATCCAGAGTATGATTATATAATTAGAATGATTTTAGTTAGAACCATCATCACTGCTACTCGTAATTGAATAACGACGTGTGGTCGCTTCAATGGTTCGTAGATCTATTTTTAATAGTTTTCGGAAGCTTTGATACAAACTAAAACTTCATTTGGCGGTTTTTTTATGTTTGATTTGTCGGGGTCAAACAGTTTTCCGCTAATGATATTCAGCTCTGAGCCAGAAGATTATTTTCACAAGTGTGTTGTCGGATTGGCGCACGATAGATTTAGAACGTATCGTTTTAATCATCTTAGCATGCGATAAGTGTTTTAAATGTGTATTTACATCGACATAAAATGTCTTTGTGTACAATTATCTCGATCTGATGTGATTTTTTACAATTCAGCACTTCATTATATTTGTATGGTTAAGGACTGTTCTGTATTATCTGAGAAGAATTGTGTTAAAGTTTAGAAGCTATTTATAATTTAAAGTCATGCATGTGGCTGTAATTTTAAATGTGAAACTCCTATCATATTATTTCTCTATAATTAAATTCGACGGAATCATACGAGATCAGATAGGCATGAATCGTTGAATATAGTTAAAATATGAAACTCGATGGCTATTAATAATTATGTTTAATACAGATTCAAAGATTCGCATGGATGTTACTGTTCAGTCACGCCCGAAATCCCTTCATCGGATCATGACAATACTCATCAAGTTGAAGTTTATATCATCCACTTTTCAAGACCAATATCTGCTCAGGATGAAGATGTTTCCCCGGCTCTTCCCTCTCCCTCCAAACCCCCTCGTCCTCCGCCCCTGGCAGTCGCCAGCAAGGTTATCTCCGGAGGTACAATCCGGGGAGGTTCCGAGGTTACGGCAGACCTGAACATGTACAACATCCTGGTCGAGAACATCCACTCCCGGATAATTAACTTCATGATGGACCTGCTCACTGCGGGGAAGTATGTGGTGCCTCAAGAGGACAAGGAGAACATTTGTGAGTCAGCTTCACTCGTGTTGTCCGCTATTGAGAGTTGTGTAACATCTCGCTCACAGAAAGGTTCACAACGCAACTCACTAGAGGAGTTAGCGCCTCCAAAACCACCTCGCTCTTACGCTAGTGATAGGAAGAGGAAGATTTCCAAGCTGCATGCCAAGGAGCGGGAGAATAACCCCATGGTAGATGTACTGATGTATCAGCAGCTTATCGCTAACATCCATAACCAGCTTCTTGAGCTGATTAGGTATCTGTACAGCGATGACAGGAAAGGGATTCCTGATATCGACAAACAGGCAATGGTGGAGAGGATTCAGCTGATAGACACCATCGCGGAGTCTTGTAAGGCCATATCGTCCGAATCAGATATCAGCTCAAGCGATGATGAAGATTTCCTTAATCTTGAGGTGTTTAATAATTCGATTCCAAGGCCTCGTTTGGTAAAAGATGTCAGTTTTGATGTGCCAGAATCGATTGCCATCAATTATAGGAACAGTAATTCATCGGAAAACTGTAAACAATTCGGCCGAATTGATGAAAATGACCAGGAAAACTATGTTACAGACGAACATCCGTATGATACATTAGATAATATCCAGAATTTCAGCATTAATGAATACAGCAAACAGCCCCTAGATCATTCCAAAGATGAACCCGGAGACACCAAAATATGTGGTGACACTAGTGAAGCAAATCCTGCTGATATATCGGTGGCAGGTTCACAAAGTGTCACTTGTAATGGTAACTGTGCTTACCCATGTGAATGCACATACTCAACTGTTCAAAAGGAGGATCCACTATCAAACTATCTGGACTATCACATTGATGTTGGTGAAAATAACGAAGAATCTGATGAGAATGACGCAGGGAACGGCACAGTAAATGGATTCGAGAAAAGAGGTGAAAACGAAAGTAGTTTGAAAAGAACGAAAACTGTTCACAAGTCGGTAAGATATTCAGCGGAAACATTGGACCATGATATGACGACCTCGAGGAAATCGTCAACCCGGGATGGGGACGTGTCTGCGGCTCAAAGCTTCAACGACTTATCCGAGATGGACATGGCCTCCAGTTACTACTCCTCAACCAATTCCTTAACCGCCTTCGGTGTTCGGGAGAAGATAAGATTGTACACTGCCTTGCAAGCTTCAGAGTCGGGCTGTATCGAACACGAAAACGGTAAGAAATACACCAAGAAATCACTGAAGAAATGGCTGTCCAAGTCAACACAGAACCTCAAAAGATAAGAACAAGAAGAAAGACGGATCGAACTCCTCTTTAGCAGCACTAAAGAAGTTTCCACCAAAACCTGGTGTTAGCGTTAGAAAGCTTAGCACGGGGGTGGATATGAGGAAAACGGGCTCTGTCAGAGGTAACGACAAAAAGGAGACCAAGCAGATGAAGATCCGACTGAAGACGATGTCGAAGAGTGTGAAGAATTTGGAGAGGCGAGAGGAACAAGCCCTCCTTGAGCTCGATGAGTGGAAGAGTAGGTTTGATGGAGTGTACTCTAAAATGATGCAGGACAGCCTCAACTCCTCCGATGTACGTATGATATCTTTTAAATGATTTGAAATTTGTATTACAACGGTGCTAGTATCTCTTCTTGTGTATTGTGTAAGGACCTAGTCTGTTATATCTGAATCAATTATTTTCATATAGCTAAGCCATGATAAGTGTAGATAAATTATTTAGCAAAATGTTTGGAGGAATTTCTAGTTCCTATTTCAACCAGTATTTACAGAAAAAAATGAGGTTATTTTCACAATTAATTTAGTCAACCTGTACGGTAACATAGCTCCTGTAGATTTAGAGTAGAATATATACTAATAATCTCAAGATGTGTGTTCGTTCGTTCGCGTGTAATTTCCGAGCGGCTTAATCAAGAAAACGGTTAGAGTTATGGGACTGGTTTTTCGGTATAGTTTCGACAAAACTCTGACAAAGCCAAATGATTATGCATTTTTAAATCGGACGGTGGTAAGTGGTTTAATTGATCATTTTGTGACCAAAATGTGATATTAAAGTGTCTCACGTACTCTTCCTCTCTCCCACTCTCGCACTTTCTCTCCCATAACAGATTTGCTATACAATTAGATAATTTGGCAGGGGACCTCAAGATTGCTTATCGAGTATTACTATTAGATACGTAAGGGGCACTCAGAATTAAATTGCGGACTGTTTGTACTGTTTGTCCTGTTTCTACTGAGCGACTTCATACTTTCGCACTGGTTTAACTACGAAAATGTAATGCGTGTTTCGAATATAATAGGCGGGTTTATACTTTTGTATTTCATCAGCGATAGTAAAGTCCCGGCCGTAGGCACGGATTACACTACTAGTTGGAATATTTCCGGACGACAGACCGTCACGTACTGTACTCCGACTCGCCACTCATGATTTGGTTATGTATTTTTCAAATAACATTAATATGGATTGGTTCACAATGGTTGAATTTGGGTCTTAATTGAATCACAATTGACATATTTCATGTGCGAGGTATTCCATGTAGACAATGGTATGTGTTCCCGGAAAATTCACGCAGACGGGTGTGTTTACTACTACTTACTACTTACTTCTTATACTACTAGGTCGGAACTAAGTCCGATCTACGCCAGAAAACCCGCTGCATACATCCCTGTCCTGCATCAGGATTCGCAGCTACTCTTTAGAGTTTGTACTTTGTCCCAACTTCCCTCAGTAAACATAGACAAATAGCTTTGACGGGTATGTTTAACACTAATAAGTACGCGGCAAACCTGTCGTTGCTCATTGTCCTGAATTGAATCAGTAGTAACAACTGTAATTAATATATTTAATTAACGTAATTGCCAAGTCGGTCGCATCAGGCCTGCAATTTTCTTGAGCTGCAGCGAAAGATTGTTATTTGTCAACATAAGTCTCGCTCATGGTGAAAAAAATGCCAAAGCTTTTAATAATTGTGACATTCTATTGGTTATCTTTATCAACAACATACGACTTTATAAATTTGAAGGGCTTAATCTGGTTTATCTGAATAAATTCATTCTATCCTGGCCGTGAAATATGATATATCCACATGAAATTAAGTGAGGTCACACGTCATAACAGTCACAGACAACTGTTGTCTCAGATAATTAGTTGCATTTGCCATCGTCTCAGACAACAGAAAACGCAATTCATTTTCTGAGACGGTCACATACAACTCATAGAGGTTAATATTTCTCATATCATATGTTGCTGTTGAGTAACATTGTCACCTATTATTTATTATTAGGGATAGTAGACGGGGTTTAGTAAGGTGTGGGTAGTTTGTGTTTCTAACACTCAGTGGTCGTTTAGTGTTCAAATATTATTCAAATCAGAGCAATATTGGTACGTGGTGTTTTGCCCTGCAAAAAGGCAGTATTTCCTAAAAGTATCCATAAGACACCCAGTCCCATAAGACTCATACTCGAACTATTCCATCTATCTAACCTCACCACTCACCACCGTCCAGGCTGTGAAAGTAACAGAGAGCCTAGAATACAAGACTCTAGAAGCGGAGCTGTCCTCTACTACAGACTCTCTAAACCAGTTGAGGGAGACTCTTCAGAGTATCCAGATGGAGATGACAAGTAAACAGCAGCATAATACCCTCCTCAAGAGCGAGGTCAGCGGTCACTTTTTAAAAATGAAATATTTTATTATAAATTCAGTCGGCGTAACTATTAAGCCTCACATGGGTCATTTTACGTTATATAAATATAATGCAAAAATATTTTTAATGAAAGTGAGTAATTTCAGCTTGAGAGGATACGTATGATGGAACACGAATCTCAGAAGGTGCTGGAAAAGTGCCAAAAAGAGAACATATTCTTCAGGCATCAAGTCATGTTACGAGGAAACCTCGCCCTGCGATCTGGCACCTTCAAGTAAGCCTCAGGCTCTTTAATATCCGTCATAGCGAGACATTACTGTTACATATAATTCTAACGGCTACGTTAAGCGTTGTCTCACCGTGATCAGCCGCTGGCCGGCAGCGCGTAATTAAAACCTCGAAATTGTAGACAATGTTTCAAGGTTGGTCATTGGTCTTTCCATTGAAAGTTTGGTGTTGACACTTATAGCTCACCGTGCCATGTAAATCATAGTACAAAACATTTAGAATTAGAGAACTAAGGCCTTGTTCTCAGTGCTGTGACAGTAGCACTGTAGCACGTGTTCACCGTCTACATTGCATGGGCTCTACACGATGAATATCATCCAATATGCACTTATCTCCTGTTTGGGCATCTATGGTCCTCTGGATGTGTATAATAGTTTATATAGTATATAATATAGTATATAATATAGTATATATAATAGAACGCTATTGTTTGGGCGCCAGTTCGTGGTCTATTGTGAGCCAACATTACTACTACAGCGTGTTGGACTGCATCTTGAATGTTGAGGAGTGCAAAGTGTGACAAGTATTCGAATGTTCTTTGAATGAATTTTTCTTTTGCAATTTGAGCTCTGTAAGTTTCTAATTTGATTATTGAACAGTCATGTAAAATTTTTGAGATGATTATTAGCACCTAATTTACGGGAGCGAGTTTCGATTTTGGTTTTAACTGTACTTTTAGAGGGGAATTTCGAATCCAGGGTTTGGAGGTTCGGACTTAAAGTAAAGGTGTGTGTAGACCTGGCCTCGACAGTCGACATGTTGGTTTGAATTTTATTGTGTATTTGCGTTAACAACTGAAGAAGGGTATTCTCAGAAGATGGGATATATATAGCCATAGGATGGATCATATACTACTGAAATTGATTCTACAGTTCAAAATATGCAATTTGTTCAATTTATGTGATGGGTTCTATATTTCATTTAAGTATTAATTTGATATATTAGATGATATAATTACTTTTAAATACCGGCAAGCAATAGCACAGACTGGGATACATTTTAAAGATAAAGTGTCGCAAAAATTAAACGGTAAAGAAATTTAGAAGGCGCAAAATATCAAAGAAGCCCCCCCCCTGACTCGGAACCAGCCTGCAGTCCGTCCCATGATTCTCTAACCATTACCTGACCACTACCCCTTTCAGCTTGTTCAAGACGAGGTGGTTCCAGCTGGAAAGTATGAGCTCCCACACAATAAGTCCCGTTATTTCCTTCTACAGTGGACCTGACCGTCTGGGGCAGATCGTGCTGGCCGAGGTGGTCACGTACGAGGTCGTGACGGACACTCAGTTCAGGTATTTCATTTAATTAAGTAATTAATTAATAGATGTGGATACTGGCGGGGAGGTGATAATTGTTTGTTTACATTAATAGTGAGCACATGTTAAGCAGGCTGAGGAGGTGATCATTGTTTGTTTACATTTTAGGTCGAGCACATGTTAAGCAGGCTGATGAGGTGATACATATTTTGTATTATAGAAGGCTTGTAACACTTGTAACGCCTTCTTGTTACCCCCCTTTGAGGGCCCCGAGTTATTTTCTGAACGAAAGCTCAAAAATAACCGAGAAATCGACCTTCTTATTAACTCATTTTGATGACCGTTTCTAACCTAAAATTGCACGAAAAATCGATTTAGCTAGGTTTCAGAACCTATAAACACTTCCTTATCCCTCAAAATTGATGTTTTATAGTTTAGAATGCGAGCAACAAGCAACATATATTTTGATCCTTCGGTTCTACTGCAGCTCTTGACCTAGGGCTGAAACCGAAAGATCGAGGCAATCCTCACCTTAACTGATCGAACTTGAGCGAAGAGCAGAGTACGACAAAACACAGCAGGTAAGTCATTTTGGTGACTGTTCCTCACCTGTACAACGTTGCACGAGAAATCGATTTAAGTTGGTTTTACAGCCCAATAACGCTTCCCTATTCCTAAAATTTTTGTGTTACTCAAACAAAGAACATGATGATTCTGCAACGAAAGAACAAGGAGATCATCTCGTTAACAACTTGAACAGGTTCTATCACAATTTTCAGAGCAGAGCACGATAGCAAAGTCAAAAGAAACAAAATAAAGGTAGGTAACCAACACAATGATATAACAATCACAATAACAACTGAATTCAATTTATTCGGACGACGGGCAGCCCTGATGTGCTCCGTGATCCTGACCAATTGTAAAAGAGGTGCTATGTCACGTGACGCAGATCCGTCCAATCACAAACAGGAATAGTCAGCAGACGGGGGGGTAGGGTGGGGGTTGTTTACGATAGTCAAACAATCTTGATAGTGTGTTGGTCTCTCCCCCAACTGACTGTAGTGCTTTAAATTGTCCAGTCAGAACAGAACATTAACATAATTTTGTAGTTATTTAAGTAGACCTGGTCATTTTTTAAAAATCACTGTCCACCTCCCTTAAAAAAACAGGGTTCAAATTGACAAGTTGGGCACACACGAATGCGATGTCGCTGAGATAAGGCAACATCTTCGCCACAACTTTGTTTCCCAAAATCTTGTACCGCTTCAGATAGCCAATGGAGCGTTCCACGTGGATGCGGGCGATGCTGACTTTTCTGCTGGCTGCTACTTCTTCCGGCGTGAACTGAGTCTTGCCCCACATCCCCGCTGGGATGTTAAGTGTAACTCCTGAAATTTAATTCGCTTTTTATTCCGCTTATTCTTAACTAACCGGACGATGATTAATCACTCTACACTCAACTGATACGTGACGTTTCAACACGTTCTCTAGATGGCTCTGAAACCTTAACCACCCACAATTATGACCCTAACCCTAACACAAACCCGATTTCTAACTTAAGCATATGCTGAAACCTTAACGAGAAATTAGAAATCATAGGTCATAGCATGTTATCTCGCCAGAGGAGCATCAGTTGGGTGATTCACAATCAGCATACAAAAATATAAATACTACGATTTAAGTTGGTTTTAACTGTTAGTGTTAGGGGCCCGTTCAGAAAAATCTCATATTTCGAGTGAACAGATAAGAAAGGTAAACATACGATATAATGTCCCTCTGCTCACTCTTCCTGTTTGTGATTGGACGGATCTGCGTCACGTGACAGAACACATCTATTACAATTGGTCGGGATCACGGAGCACATCAGGGCTGCCCGTCGTCCGAATAAATTTAATTCAGTTGCTATTATGATTGTTATATCATTGTGTTGGTTACCTACCTTTATTTTGTTTCTTTTGACTTTGCTATCTTGCTCTGCTCTGAAAATTGTGATAGAACCTGTTCAAGTTGTTAACGAGATGATCTCCTTGTTCTTTCGTTGCAGAATCATCATGTTCTTTGTTTGAGTAACACAAAAATTTTAGGAATAGGGAAGCGTTATTGGGCTGTAAAACCAACTTAAATCGATTTCTCGTGCAACTTTGTACAGGTGAGGAACAGTCACCAAAATGACTTACCTGCTGTGTTTTGTCGTACTCTGCTCTTCGCTCAAGTTCGATCAGTTAAGGTGAGGATTGCCTCGATCTTTCGGTTTTAGCCCTAGGTCAAGAGCTGCAGTAGAACCGAAGGATCAAAATATATGTTGCTTGTTGCTCGCATTCTAAACTATAAAACATCAATTTTGAGGGATAAGGAAGTGTTTATAGGTTCTGAAACCTAGCTAAATCGATTTTTCGTGCAATTTTAGGTTAGAAACGGTCATCAAAATGAGTTAATAAGAAGGTCGATTTCTCGGTTATTTTTGAGCTTTCGTTCAGAAAATAATTCGGGGCCCTCAAAGGGGGGTAACAAGAAGGCGTTACAAGTGTTACAAGCCTTCTATAATACAAAATATGTATCACCTCATCAGCCTGCTTAACATGTGCTCGACCTAAAATGTAAACAAACAATGATCACCTCCTCAGCCTGCTTAACATGTGCTCACTATTAATGTAAACAAACAATTATCACCTCCCCGCCAGTATCCACATCTATTGTTCATCATGTTGAGCTCTTTTATAAATCATTTTCCCTTACCTTTGCCCCAAATATCGTAGGGAATAAGTAATCATTCCTCCATACTGTAACAAATGACGAACTTGCTCTTTCATATTTAAATTATAATCGATTGATGTTGCCTAAAGTGAAGTAAGTAAGTTAGGGGGGGGTCCACGTTAAAAAAGTTAAATTCTAAGATCGAGATTTTGGAATTTAACATTAATTACTTTAACTTTTTTAACTTTTTTAACATAAATTAAAAATCAGATTTTGGCTGACTAATCGGTTCAAATTTTTACATAATTACCCAAATTAAACTCAATTATGAGTGTTGACCTTTAGTACTAGTAGTACCTCGCTCTTGCAATTGTTTTCTGTAGTTGTAACTGATTTGATAACTCTACAAAAAAAAACACCTTGTATCATATATACACATAATTGTATAATTTACTAATATAATCATTCATATAATAGGAAAAAAGAATATGGCTTGGCGGTGTAAGTGCGGAAGGGTTATGGAAAGTCTCACATACGACAGATGTTTACGTTGCAATTTAGCGAAGGCATCAGGAGAGTCGCTCATTCGCTTGAAGGGTTCCTGTAGCTGTAATCCCTGTACCCGAACCATCTACTGAGGACACATCATCAGGTATTGATACTCCGGAGCTTCCTCCAGCTGTAATCCCTGTACCCTAACCATCTACTGAGGACGTATCAGTTGTTGTCAACACTTCAAAAAGGGCTGCTGATTCCTCAAAACCTAGAACTCAATATGATTCTGAAGACGAATCATCTGCTGATGTTATCACTACTGCGATAATAACAAGCAACTCATTCAAGAGGAGAGCTGTCCCTACTTTTAGGATTCCAAAGATTAAGAAACTGACGGTGCAAAGCAAATTGACGATTATGGATAAATCTTCATCGACGGGTCTGAAGAAGAAGGAGCATTTGCGGGCTAACACTGATAATTTAACCACGAGAACTCCCACAGTAGACAATTCTAAATTCACAATTGGACGACCAGTTGATGTTGATAAGATAAACAGCAGCAAGAAAGTGTTAAATTCAAAGAAGGAAACAGCACTTAACAAGTTGTCTACACGACTCATTGAAGGTGGAACTGCAATCAAGAATGAGAATCAGCAGGGAAATCGGGACAAATTGAACTCTAGAAATACTCCTCCAACAAGTTCTCTGAGTACAATAATTAGACTGCCAGTACACGATGGAAAAGGTGATAAGCCTGTGATTGCGAAGAAAGAGACTGTTTTAAATACACTTTCTACAAGATTCGCCACAGAAGATGGCACTTCCACGCCGAAAAACAAACTTTGTAAGGAGAAATCCGGAAGAAAGGCGCTCGATGCCGAAACGATTAAAGATAGATGCACGGTCAGGACGAATTTTGAAATTGAATTGTGGAAGTGTAACGACATGGTACCTGGCCAGATTATCAAGGCCAAAGCAATTCAACGGGTTTTATTCAGACTTGGGTGTTCTTTAGAGGAAGCTTGCCTACAGAATATATACAATATTTTCGGAGGAAAAAAATCCAGGTGTCCTACGTTATCAATTGTGCGATCCATTAGCGGGTATTAAGACTAAAATCTAAGAAAAGACGTCGTCGGATGATGAGTATTTTAACTACCCCGGAATGTCAGAATGGAACAAAGAGTACGGATGATGTGGTGCAGAATACTGTGCATCAGCCATGCCCAATAGCTAGAGTGAAACCAATCTTGTCATCGGAAACTATTCAAACTATTCCAAAAATACAAGGAAAGCTGTCTACTAATTATGTCCATGCAAATGTGACAGGGAAGCATTCTTTTGCCTTTATTTCCCACATTGCGGTAATGCTAGAGTTAACTAGATGACTAGGTCCAAGCAATTTGAAAAGTTGTGACGATGAGGAACCTGTGCATAGATCGTTGAATGAAATAAAAAATAATCAGGATTCAAAGAAATATCTAAATGTAATTGATAGCCCGGAAGATATTGAAAATAAAGTCCCTGAAGTCTTAAAAGCTTAAAGCAGGTAAAGAACCTATTGGGGTCCGGGTGTGTGAAAGTGAAACAACCAGATCGAAGTTCTGTTTCAAAACATAGATGCTCTCATAATCTAAAGAGCCATTTAGCCAGTTATATAATATAATAACATCTGGGTCCGGGACTCTAGGGCGTAAGACTCTAGGGCGTGAGACTTTAGGGCGGCGCCCTAACCCTAACCATCACCCTAACCCTAACCCTAACCCTTATCCTAACCCTAACCCCAACCCTAACCCAAACCCAAACCCTAACCCTAACCCTAACCCTAAGACCCTAGAGTCTTACGC